CCCCCAAAATCCGCCGTACCCCGATATTTGAGGCGGGAATGGGCCATGAGCCTGCCCAGCACTCGCTGCATCTGCCCCAGGCGCCGCGGGGAGAAACACTCGGGGGGGGCTCGGGTCTGCACGAAAACTGGGGAGGGGGCACACCTGGGGTTACCTGGGGGGCACGTGGGTACACCTGGGGGGCACCTGGGGGGCACCTGGGTACACCTGGGGTTACCTGGGGGGCACACCTGGGTACACCTGGAGGGGCACCTGGGGGTTATGGGGGTGTGGGTGTAGGGCAGGATAGATAGAATCTATAGGGCCAGATCTATAGGGCCAGATCTATAGGGCCAGATCTATAGGAGCAGATCTATGGGATTTATAGGATCTATAGGGTTTATAAGATCTATAGGATCAGATCTATAGGGTCAGATCTATAGGGTCTATAGGATCTATAGGGCCAGGGCTCACCCAGGTGTGGGTAATACTCCGAGGGCTATGGGGTCAGATCTATGGGGTCGGGTCTATGGGGTCAGATCGATGGGGTCAGATCTATAGGGTCTATAGGGTCAGATCTATGGGGTCTATAGGGCCAGATCTATAGGATCTATGGGATCTATAGGGCCAGATCTATAGGGTCAGGTCTATAGGATCTATGGGGTCTATAGGGTCAGTTCTGTAGGGTGAGATCTATGGGGTCAGATCTATGGGGTCTATGGGGTCTATGGGGTCAGATCTATGGGGTCTATGGGGTCTATGGGGTCAGATCTATGGGGTCTATAGGGTCTATAGGGTCAGATCTATGGGGTCTATGGGATCTATGGGGTCAGATCTATGGGGTCTATGGGGTCAGATCTATGGGGTCTATGGGGTCTATGGGGTCAGATCTATGGGGTCTATAGGGTCTATAGGGTCAAATCTATGGGGTCTATGGGGTCAGATCTATGGGGTCAGATCTATGGGGTCTATGGGGTCAGATCTATGGGGTCAGATCTATAGGGTCTATAGGGTCAGATCTATGGGGTCTATGGGGCTCACCCAGGTGTGGGTAATACTCCGAGGGCTATGGGGTCAGATCTATGGGGTCTATAGGGTCAGATCTATGGGGTCTATGGGGTCAGATCTATGGGGTCTGTGGGGTCTATGGGGTCTATGGGGTCAGATCTATGGGGTCTGTGGGGTCTATGGGGCTCACCCAGGTGTGGGTAATACTCCGAGGGTTATGGGGTCAGATCTATGGGGTCTGTGGGGTCTATGGGGTCTATGGGGCTCACCCAGGTGTGGGTAATACTCCG